CAGTAGATAGCTGTATGTCATAGTTGCACATCCTTCTAGTTGCTGTATGTGGGACGCAGCCTCAGCATGGCCAGACAAGCAGTGTGTCGGTGCGCACCCGGGATCCGAACCCGGGCTGCCAGTAGCGGAGCGCGCACACTTAACCGCTAAGCCACGGGGCAGCCCCTCATTTTTTTATTTGAAGCCAAGCCTCTATTATATATTCTTTATATTTTAGGGTCTTTTGTTTTTTCAGTAAGTAAAACAATACAAAAATATATAACAGAAAGCTCAAAAGCTAATGTTCTTTCTCCATTTCCCCCGCCCTCTTGTCTAGATTCCAATGTTGACTGCATGGTGGGCCTCCTTCTAAACCTTCCCCCTTGATCATTCCAACACACAGGAGTCTTTTGGGGTTTGTTTCCGCCTCTCTACCCCCACTTCTCTCTCTGGTCCCAGGTCTGCCCTCTCTGCGATGGGTGACAGGAAAAGGCAGGGAGAAGGGGGTGTCTATCTCCTCACCCTTGACACCTCCCTCAGGATGAACTTCCTCAGAACCAGGATTAGCAGGCATGCCCTACTGATGTTAGGGGATTCTGTGGAAGATGGTTTCTTTTGTATCGCGGGGCTCTTTAAAAGTGTTATATGTTCTTTTTTGTAAATCTAAGAGGGACAGTAAAAGGGAGAGAGGGGGCAAGAAGGACCAGAAAGAAAGCAAGATGAAAGGAACATTGGGTCACCTGGGTGGTAGTACATTCTTTGTTTTTTTTTTTTTTTTTTGAGAGAATGCTTTTGGGATTTCATTCTAAAGGAATGACATTAAATACTGTTTTGTGTTGTTGTTGTTGTTGTTGTTTTTGTGAGGAAGATCAGCCCTGAGCTAACATCCGTGCTAATCCTACTCTTTTTGCTGAGGAAGACCGGCTCTGAGCTAACATCCATGCCAATCCTCCTCCTTTTTTTTCCCCCAAAGCCCCAGTACATAGTTGTATGTCATAGTTGTACATCCTTCTAGTTGCTGTATGTGGGATGCAGCCTGAGCATGGCCGGAGAAGCGGTGCGTCGGTGCGCGCCTGGGATCCAAACCCAGGCCGCCAGTAGCGGAGCATGCGCACTTAACTGCTAAGCCACGGGGCCGGCCCTGTTTTGTGTTTTGTAATTCATTTTGGATGTTCTATATCAGAAAACTGGTTTTTTACTTAAATGAGGAAACAAAATTGTTCAAACTGAAAGAAATTAATTATGTAATAATGGGAAATTAATCTACATATATTAATTTGCTTCCTTATCAATTCTCTTTCCAGACTGTGTTCCTTTGACAAATGTCTATAACAGTCTCAGCAGATTTTATTTGAAGCAACAGTACAACTAGACCTAGGTCTAGTTGTCTAGGTTACCTCACTCCCCGTCTGGGTGGACCCCCATCTTACCCCAACTCCTCCAGCCTCCCATACTCCCAACATCTACAACCAAACACAACTGCCCCAATCAACTTGATGAATCCCAGACCCCCATTACCTCAAGGCCTGGTATTTCCAAATCACCCTTTAAAGGTATAAGGGGCTG